ATGTATGCTTCGTGGTCGCAACTTATTAAATTATTTAACATCGACTCATTGACATAATGATTACTGATAGTTCGCACCATTACAATGGCTTACAACACTATAATGGCTTATTTACACCGCTTGCACCGCTATAACGATGACACTAAGATGGCTTAGCACTACAATAGCTTACGACACCAAAATGCCTTACAGCACTACAATGCGGGCTTACAAAAAGAAAATGGCTAATGCACTATAATGGCTTACAAAAACAAATGGCTTTCAGCACTCCAATGGCTTACAAAAACAAAATTGCTTACAGCTCTCCATTGGTTTACAAAAACAAACTGGCTTACAGCACTCCAATAGCTTATAAAAACAGAATAGCTTAAAGCACTCCAAAACGACTCTTACATCACTACTTCAATGCTATAGATAGATGATGTGATTCCGTGTATAAATAAAGTTTATTATTATTATAACTACTCTACTCACATACAACACCGAGTTCGGGAATCGAGTTCGGGTCGCAGTGATGAGAAGCGAGCGGTCAGGCTACGCCACCCGAGCTTCCCAAGCCATTACTATTGCAGAAAAGCCAGTTTTCTGGTTATTCGTTGGGCCCTGGCTAAACGAGGAAACAATGTTTCCAGAAACATGTTTCCCTAAATGTTTCCTAAGGTGGCAAAACTGTCAGAAAACATCGGGAAACAATGTTTCCATGTGTCTTGGAAACATGAAATGTTTCTACCGCACAGCAAAAACATTTTTTGTTTCTTGGAAGCAAAATTTGTTGCACACAGCAATGTTTCGCATGTGGCTAAACTGGGAAACATGGAGGAAACATGCGCGCGGTAAACATGTTTCTGGAAACATGTTTCCTTGCTTAGCCAAGGCCTTAGACTAAACAATGTTGGTGTCTTGCTGACTCTAGATTAGGATATTTTTCTGTTAAAGAAAGTTCATCAAAGTTATTCTTAAAAACTGACTTGAATAATTAAATGAGACCAATATTATTGCAGTTAAGAGTTTTCAAATCGTATGCTATGCTTTTTAGGAACTATATTAACTCGTTGGAAGACGCGCAAGCTTTGATATAATTTTACTTATTGGCTGTGACTCTTACAACTCAAATCATGCGGGTTTAGCCTAGCTTCTGAGGTCGGAAAATAAAAGCTCGAATTAAAACAACAAAACAAGCAAAATTCTCCTGTACTCGAGGCGAATCGAGGCGATTAAAGGCGCTCATTCCAGTTTCCAAAACTCACGACCACCTGAAATAAATCCGCTGTATCTCGCGTTGTAGAAGGACTGCAATATTTATTTTTTCCAGAGACATAGTTAATAATTGACAATTTATTTTGATATAACTTTTATCAAGATCGGACTTTTCATTCATTTTATTTTGATATGGTGCCCTCTTTAGTTCTCGCTTAATTTCTCAAACTTAAATAAATTAAATATTGTGCCTTTTAAACCAAATATGTGGGCATAATATACGAGAGTTCGATAAAAATCCAAGGAAGCCGATTTTGAGAAAAAACGAAGTATTTATTTGACCTTATAAAAGTTGTAAATCGTCATTTGTTACCAAGATAAAACTCATATCGTTTTATATAGAAATAAAGAAGAAATCTCGTTCTTTATTTAGTATGAAATTCAAGATATTCGAGTTATTAGATTGTAAGCAAGACAAGTTTTAGTAAAGTAGTAATTTTGCGCTTAAAATGCAGAATTCCTTACTTTTCACTTCGAAGGCCGTTGCTTGAAAACTGCTCCTTACATTTTTTCTAACTTCCGCTATCTAAAATTAACGATATGCACTTTATAACATATCAAACTTTTAAAGCAATTGAAGATTTTTAACATGGTGAAATAATTTTCAAGCACAGCTTCTCTCTTGCCGTCTCTTGTACTCTGTTGGTTTTGACATTTCGCTGTCGATTGTTTACAATCCCAAAGATATAATTATGCTTGCATTTGTGCTTTTCACACTGATGGATTTCACGATTGTTCTTCTGCCAAACATTCAAGAATAAATCTTTTTTTTTTTAAATGATTGTTGATTTGGCTTTAGTTGAGTTTAGTTTAACGATTTAGGCTAAGGTCACGAAACGAACTCATTATCGCATGAATTGACCTTGGAAGAAATAAAATAAATGAAATGATATCGATAATAACTAAAAAAATACATTTATTCATCAAAATACATCACTTCTAGATTACTTTTGATAACAGAAACACTAAAAGCATTGTTTTCAAATATCATCTCGCTAACTCTGCTATCACGATCGAAGCCGGAAGTTAAAACTGATGTAGTTGAGCAAATCTTTTATCATTACACCATCAAAATGCTTCAAAGAAAATTGTTCATAAGAGGGATATATAATAAGATGAGTTCGTTTTAAGAGTATTCCTTTCAAACCTTGGAGATTTATCAATTAACCCTAAAGCCAATTAATAGTACGTAAATTCAAGCATTGCAACCGCTCAACGCCAACATTATGCCTCTATCAAACAATACTAATTAAGAGATTTAATTTTCAAATTGACAAATAAAAGTTAAATTGGAGTCAAGGTTTTGCCGCGGCATTAGTTACTTCATTTCTTGAGGATGTTCATTTTCTTCATTATATCGCGTGAGAATCTGGTGGATTTTTTTGATCCACCAACCACCTTCTACAGTTGTCGACGATGAAAGCCTGTTTTCAAACAGGATTAACCTGAAATACCTGTTTATATTCTACGTTAACATTTTGATAAAAATGCTTCATGTAAAAATCGCTCGAAAATAAATAATAAAACCGTTTCTAGGTGATTGCGGAGCATGCGCAACAAAGACAACGACCTAAATTGGGTTTACTTGCCATTAGCTCTAAGGCGAAGGAATAAAACCCAGGGCTCTAGGTACGAGCTAGAATGATGTATTGCCTCTATCTACGTGCAAATGACTTAATGGAGAACCAATGACTTTGCTAGTTAGTAGATAACAGATAACAGGATATGAAATCAAACGTGTCCTATGTCGAACTCATTAAGTGGATACTACTTGCACTTTTCAGAGATTGCTTAGTGTTGACGGGTCGAATAGTAAATTCTGATTTAAATGCTCAATCTAACTGGTAAGTTGGGCAATCGTCCTTCTATTTTCCTTTTAGTCTCTACGTTTTGTTCTTCTTTATTTTGAGTTGAGTGTTTTATCTTGTAATAATTTGATTGTTTGAGCAAGGAGTCAGTTGAAAAGCTTCGAAAGACGACTTGGATCGCTTTGCTTTTAGTTTCCCTATGAAAGCCAAGCAAGTGGACAGATGATGTTATAATTCGATGTGGATGTGAGGACAAAAATAGCAAAATATCGCGGCTATAGAAATTGTTTTGGGGAAAATCTCAGTCGAAAAAGCTACAAGCCCGCGATAACAGAACCACTTGAATGAATCTCCTATTGAAATATTTTTTTGACAGGGTGGAAAGCCGGTTCATGATGTTATCACGAAAACATCTTTCTTGATAAAGATGTCTTTTATACTGAATTGGATTTCGCTCATTCTTGACACCTTATATAGTGGAATCGTTTTTTCATCCACATCTAATTACCAGATTTTACCCTATTTTAGTTGAACAAATAGCTAGGATACTAGATGAATTAGAATTCTTTCATTATCCCTAGAATTACATAACCTGTGTTAAAGGTTTTTAATGAACAAAAATCGTCCACATCTGTATTTTGTGTGTGTGTTTTTTTGTTTTTTGTTTTTTTGTTTTTTTTGTTTTTGTTTTTTTCCATTATAACAAGCCATAGGCTTTAGCCACATTTATACTGGTGATTTTACTAACGAAAGTGAAAAAAATTTAAAAAATATTTTCAATAGTTATACAGTTTAGACTGCATGCTTCGTGTTCAGCTGTGCCTAACCTAAAAAATAAATCATTTCGACGCCGACTGACGAAAATGCTTCCAACTAAACCGCGTATTTTGGTTTCCTGCTGTTAACTCTGCCATGTCACCAAAACGAAAAAAAAAAAAAAACAAAAAAAAAAACTAAGGTTCTTAAAATCGTTTGTGACGATATGCTTTCACGAACGTTAATAGACTTGCAACCGTTAAAATAGACTCTAGACATTTTTTCCCGATTCCATGAAGAAAAGATTAGAGATTTCCTTCACATGTAGGAGCGGAGTAGTTGTTGTCAAATTAATGAATATGAGGCTTAAATCGGCCAAAAGATATTGATAAATTTCAATAAATACCATTCAAGAAAGATTCTCACCTGGTTATTTGCTAGTTATTCTGTTTTATTTTTCCCTGTCGTTACGGATTTACTTTATTTGGTTTTGATGTTTAGTTTGCATGATTTGAACTAAGTATAGTCTAATGTAGGCTGCTGTATCTTTTTTGTTTTGGTTTTTTTTTTAGCTTTTATTCCTGTTTTCTATCCTTTTTCAGTTTTATTTTCTTATATTTTCTTTCTGCGTTTATTCCTACCTTCTTCGCTTCCATATTTATCATGTACTCTGTTTCTCTAGATAGCTAACTCATGTTCATTTGGTTACTATTTATGAAGTTGTTTGTCTTCTTGTATTATCTCCAGTCCTCGATTGTTTTGTTGTTTTGCTTTTGTTTCGGCTTTATTTAGCTCCCCCTTGCATCGTACGTAATTTACACAACACATAAGACCACTAGACCTACTATTGACCAAGCTAATGGCAAAGAGTCTCCTTAGCATGTGTTTTCAATACAACACACTTAGTATTTCATACCATTTGGAAGGAGCAACTAGGAAACCTCCGGTTCCAACAGTTCTACTATATTGAATGAACCCGTCTTCCTCATCAGCTGCTGTGCTATTGATACTTTGATCAATTGTGATTGGCCTCTTCATTACTTAATAGCTAAAAGGATTGATCTAAAATAAATAATCTATAGCAAAAAGCTCTTTATATCAGGCCTTCAAATCTAGACAATAGATATATAAAAGGCCCAGTAGCTAGCTAATTCGTTAATCGTTCTTCTTCTTTTTCAGAGTTCCACCATGGAAAACAACGGGTCTAATACTTCGTCATTTACTTCTACTGCTGCTGTAAGTGATCAAGAAGTCGGCGATAAAGTTGTCGTCACATCAGCGTATGCCATTATCTTTCCTGTGGCCCTGTTCGGGAATCTTCTAGCGATTTACATTGTAATAAGTAAAAGATACATGCGATCTGTTACCAACCTTCTTCTGGTGAATATGTTCGTTGGGAACCTTTTGGTAGCTTGCGTCGTTATGCCATACTCTGTGTCCTTTCTCTTTGTCGAGAGCCGCTGGTTTGGTGGAGGATTCGGGAGCTTCACTTGTAAATTTGTTCACTTCGCCTACGCCTTGCCCATAGCTGCCTCCATATTTGCTCTACTTCTTTCCTCGGTTGATCGTTATTTCGCTGTAATTTATCCATTCAGTCAACTTCACTTCATTCGGAACGCGAAGGCAAGTACTGCTATGATCTGGATTCTGTCGTTTTGTTTCATCTCTCCATATTTATGGTCATTCAAAGTTCTTGAAGGAGACGGTCTTCACTTCTGTGTCCCTGATTGGACTCCCTTGGACCCTATCGAATCACCCAAGATCTACTTCTCGATACTCTTTGTTGCCTTATATTTTGTTCCTCTTGCTATTATGTCCACTCTGTACTTAATGATTGGTCTCAAGCTGTGGAAGCGGAAGATACCGGGAAACGCCATTCGCAATACCAAACGAGCTGCTGAAATTGCCAAAAAGAAGGTGGTGAAGATGCTAATAATAGTAGTAGTTGTGTTCGCGTTGTCATGGATTCCAACACATTCCATGCATGTGCTCATTTTCTTCGTCTCTGAAAGATACGCAGCCCTCCCATTGATTCTTAAAGGTCTAGCATTTTGGATCTGTCATGCCAACAGCGCCATTTCGCCCTGCTTATTTTTGGTTCTCAGTGAGAAGTACCGTAGTGGACTTGTGGCGATCTTCAGGAGAAGATTCCCCCGTAGCGATAAAGTCAACTTGAGCGTCGGCACCAGATCTTTTCGCTTTAATTCATTCAGCCGAAATAGCGCTACAAGGTACAACAGATCAAGCGGTAAGAAAGACAATGAAACTACACTGCTCTAAAACTTTTAAATACGTTGCTTTATCTGTTGAATTAAAACGTTACAAGACGTTGTGAGCTATCTTCTGCTCTTCTTCTGTTGTCTGATGTTGTAAGGAAAGAGAGAGAATGACTAGGTGTAGGGAGCTGGACGCGCAGGCAGGGAGAACGGACTGGAAGTGTTCAGTATAGATCTATCTTAGTTTATCTTAGATATTTCTTAGTTCAAGCAAAAAATAATAATAGCATTTTGCTGATTTTGATTTCAGCATATGGGTAGGTCTGTTCGCATACCTAGAATATTTGTTAACACTCTTAGACGTCTAGATATAGAAGCTAAGTATTGTAGGCTGCCATATTGCTTAGTGCAAGAACCAAATTATACTTTAGCATGAGTGTAGTCACGGTAGCCGTGTCGGATGGCAGGAACGACCATTTCACATTTCATTTCACAAGAATTCAATCTCTTCAGAGTACTAAGATATTCTATTGTTCTGCTATCTAACATGGCCGCTGGCAAGTGATCGCAGAAAACACCCTATATCTGATATGAATCATTCCAGCCGGCAGTGAAGAATTTGGTAACCACCTTAATTATTTTCACAGAAATCTCGCTAAAAGCCAAAGATAGAAAGGAAATGTTTTGATTTAGTTTGGCTCATTTTTGGTTAGTTGGATTAAATTTTCTTACGGTTCCATGCCGGCTCACCACAGGATACCCAAGGCGGCATTCTACGAATATATTATATTGCTATATACATTACACTTTCCTAAGTTATAAGATTTGATTAATAGATACAATGACAATAGCTCGATCAATAATAAGAACAGCTAACGAATCAAAATATAGATGGAATCCTTTAAATTTAAAAAATGTTTTGAAAGATTTCCAGGATACCAAATGAAAAAAAAAACGTTGCTTATACGCGCTTAATAACAGTGACACAACAATTCACGATTTTTTTTATAGCAATGATGGTCATGTCTTTATTTTTCGCTGGTCAATTTTTGGCAGCTTCATGACACCTCAGTACTTACAGTACTTGACGTCATTTCTACGTCACTATTTCAGATCAGCTGGAATGGCCGCCATGTTGATCGTTGATATGATAAAAAGGACTAATGAAAAAAAATTCAACACAGTCAACACAACAATTAAAATGTAAGAGTAACGAATCCAAGACACAAGGTTCCCTATTTTTAACTTGACAAATTGGTATTTAAAATTATTAAAGATGGTGGTTATCATACTAATTAAAAATCAATTTATAATACTAATGGATTTTAAAAATGAAATCAAAGAAAAGGTCGCCTTGTTGGTTAACATAACAAAAGAGACGGATAAATTTTTTGTTAAATTATAAAATGGTAGCTTTAAAAAACATCAATACTATACTTTGTACATACGTAACATTCGTCTTAACATTTAGAGCCCTTTGCATAAACAGGGTACAAGAAACTGATAAAGTACTTTGGGGCTGATAAAGTACAGCCCAATGGGTATTCTGATAACCATTTTTACACAAGTGAATATAATAAATCAGGTACGCTTGCTCATTGGTTACATTTTACGCCTTATGATGTCGTATATTCACCTACAGCTGAATATAACGCGAACGCGAACGCGCACAATCGTTTGTCGATTTGTGCTGCTTGCAGAGATAAATAAAATGTAAACATAAAAACTCTCTCTGTGTTATTTATTAATTTCACTTGTGTTGAAAATGCTAAAACAATTATTCTGGCCTCGGTAAATATTTCCCTATATTCATGGTATTGATAAGCTCGCTGGAAAATCTTCACAAAAAACCGTGTGGCAAATGGCGCTTGTTTAGTCGATGTTCGAGTTCCTCTGGCATGACTGCGGCATAAACCTACAGTGACATACTACAGCTGTCCACGGTTTCTAGATGAGCTGGCTCATTTTTTCGCGACTTGAAGTTGTGAAAGGTCCATTGGCCCTCTTCTTCAGTCTTTTCATCTAAGGATCGTAATTTACCTATTGCGCATGTTCTTATTTGATATCTGAGCCCATCCCACACGGCTTACTTCCTCATCAATCTAGTACTACCTTTTCGTGGGATTGCCAGCTTATTAAATATACCGTGCTGACGAAGCCCAATTCAGGCCGATTCAGTTGAGCTGGTTCATTTTACGCGACTTGAAGTTGTAAAAGGTCCATTGGCCCTCTTCTTCAGTGGGTTCATACAAGGCTCGTAATTTACCTATTACGCATGTTCTTATTTGATAAAAGAGCCCTTCGCACACAGTACTGCCTCATCTATCTCAGTACTACAGTGACATAACCAATCACTGATAAAGATTTGAAGAGGAGTAGCTAATCAGAATCGAGGACTGTTGTTATATTTCATTCGTTGCTTTATTTGACTAAAGCTATATATTTATTAGTGTAGCAGATGAACTTTATTTTAGTTCACAATCAAATTCATATAACCAAATATTCAGTGAATTTCAATATGGAAATCATAAATTATGGGATACTAAACTCTAGTAGTCCCCTTCCTGAGGGCCTACTAGATTTGAGATTGTTTTATGATTGTTTAGGTTTGTCGTAATCCAGATGGGCCGTGAATCGTTCCACATGGTTGGTGATCAATGTCCCAATCCCTAAAAAGTCCAAAATAGAGAAACTGGCAAAGAAGGCTTATGGAATAGGTTGGTTGATAGTTTCACACAGCAGCACGTCTACCAATGAGGGTGTACAAAAAAAAACTATTACATCCCATAATTTCTGATTTTCTTTATTTCATTACTAAGAAAATGTAGAAATAGGTATAAATATCATGTTATCATAATTAATTGAATAAAAAAATTAAACCTCCAGCTATGGTGAATATATATAGTATTTCTATTTTGCTCCACTGTTTACTAAAGACTCGGGATCGGAGGAAGTGCTTGGTCTTATAATCAGCTGAAAAAAGTCCGGAAATCTCATTGTCTACTCCAAATGATGGTTGAAAACTGAAAATCATGTGCTATTAACCAGAATAAGGAATCGTGAGAACTCGTGCTGGTTTCAGCTGATGAACATTCTGAATAAGAGAGATATAATGTCATGTGAAATAGAGGACGAGGATTTTGGAAGAAAACCGGAGAACCTTTTTGAATTAAGGGCGAGACCTAGTAACACTTCCTAACAAACCGCATGTGTTGCCGAGTCCAGAAATCGAACCAGAGACCTCAAGGTAAGTGATGAGTGCACGTGGCTGCATTACACAGAAAAATCGGGGGGAAACAGAGCCCAAAACAATCGAAAAACCCTCAAATCAAGAGAGAAATCCTTTACAGGGTCGTAGCCACGTTACGGTTGGTCTGGTCTTAACCGCACCACTTTTTACCTTCAGAATCATCCCCCCCCCCCCTGTACGAAATTATTTTTCAAACAAATGAATAAGAATCGGACCACTGTCCAAGTGGTGGCTAAGGTACCGGTTTTGCCTTGTTATTTACAGATTAATACCTTTGATGATCAATGACCGATCATTTTTTTTTTCTTTTTTCACTGGATCGCTTATCTGAATCACCTCGATGCACTGGGTTACAGTTGAAGAGATGCTAACCTCTGACTGATCGATTAGTATAGTAAAATGCATTGAGGGAATTCTATCAAAACTTGCCAAGATTTCTAATTCATCATCATGAATGAAAACAGCTCTTCAAATCAATCACTTCTTACCTAAAAATAAAACAAGTGGGATTGTGGTAAACCGGCACAGATGATCGCAAAGTTCATCAGAAGACAAAGATGCGTACGCATATAAGCGAAGATTTGTTTTACCTCAGTGATAAATTGTGACTACCAATAAAACCACAAATCAAGGCAAGTTTCAATATGGTTTCATTCGCAGCGTGATAACATGAAAATGCAATAAAGATCTACTTGAATGCCTTGTACAATTATGTCTAGTTTTCCAAGAGGCTCTATTTGATCGCAGTCATGCGCATTGATGCGAAATCGAGTCTCGTGAAGCTAGACTTCCGTGATATGTGTTGAAATTCTGCATGAGCATCATAACAAAGTGACTTTACACGGCATACATTTAGACTTAGCATGGATTGTATCTTAAAATGGTCCTTAAAAGTTCAAACAAACTTAAGATTGAAGATATTCAGCGACACTGTTCGTGTACATAAAGTTAAACTGATCGATTGACAAACCTACGAAACCGAAGCCATCAGCAGTGAAGCCTGCCAAGCTAATGTGAAAAAGATTCGGGAAGAATTCATCTATGGCGTGTTGATCGAACTGGTTAAAGACTATTTTAATCAAAGCCATAATCGGAAATTAAAGTTCCTTTATAACTATAAGTGAAAAGAACAGAGAGAATTCATCATGGGTTAAACGGTTTTACGACCTGATAATCGAATTCCGATCAGCACATATGTTAAAGTCACCTCATGCTAAATGACTATCGGTACTTCACAAGTTTGTACTTGCCAAGTGTTTTATCACGCCTAATTTAAAACATAGAGATAAAATAAAGATAAAGAGTAGTCACGAAAGGACTATTAAAATTCCTAAAGCTTATTTATAACATCCTGGTTCGAAGTAATTTATTGATCATTATGGTAAACATGATTCACTGATTTCAATCTAAAGATCAATTTTCTACCCGAACATAACATGAGTTATGGCGGGAAAGTTACTACTGCCCTGCAATGCTACATGAATCATAAGAGTAAATTAGGCTATGTTCTGGTTCTGAAGTTTCATCGCAGTATTCCACTTTTATGAATTATTAGTTTTCGTACAATTCAAGGCAATATTTGTATTGACATTGTATATATTTGTTTTAAGTAAAACCAAAGTTGAATACAGAAAGAATAGGTCGTTTTGTACACTCGGTAACAATCTTGAAACACATGCATGTTTGGCAATAAAGTGGAGCTCAAGTCATAAGTCGACCAAATTTAAAGACAGTTTATTTAGATTGCCTTAGAAATAGCTTAAAGTCGAGGAGGAATGTCAACATGCTCGATTTTTACAATACTAAATCGAAAATCTCGTAAATTGAAGGTTTTTCCAGTCATATTTGGAATCTTCACTAACAAATAGATTGATTTATTAATATGTTAAGACTTTGCATAATTTATGAAAACTTTTCATGACTATATGAAGTTGTTTACGTGAGTTATCAGATGTCTACCACCACTTGAATTACGTTTAATAAGCTTTTTTAGTGGGTTTGATGAATCACAAAGAAAGAGTTTAAAACGATTAGGAAAGACTTGATTGTCCTTCACTTCAGAACCCAAAGTGATTAATGTTTGAATTAGGTAGTGTCTAGAGCGACACAATGAAGTATCCAATGCATTAACAACCGTTTCTATTCAACAATGTATGGCTTACTGTCCATCCGTCAAAACTCTTCTTTTAATATGACTTTGACAGAACACGCACACGTCGCTGTCCACAGTCCAGATTGTTGAAATACCAATCCTGACACAAGTCTGTGAAAGTCTTTTAAAACCTCTTTGTCTGATCAATTTGTAGTCGATGTGTTTAGATCAAGATATTTAATGCCTAGGTGTTATGTTATAAGCAGCTTTTATTTGTAGCACCTCAAAGGCACATGTTTTTCAAGTCCGGAATCCTAGATGGAATATATTTGCCTATTTCATCAAGAGAGGTCTACACTAGAAGGAAATCCTTTATTCGTCCTAATGTGTTTACCAAGTAGTTTTGACTGATGTGTTGCTTGTCAGCAACCTTTGTCATGCTCAATGCTACTGTCACGACCGTTTACTGTGAAAAGACAACAGCATTCTAAGAATAACATTTATTTGACTCGAAATTTCCGCTTATGAAAGGCAAATGTAAAATTAATACGTTTTTGGGTCAAGCCATTGGACGCTAGTTCTGTCCCGCCTCTTTGCTATTATCGACCGCTTTGGTGTTTGATCTGGGCGTATATTTCTCCCCGCGGTCTGATCTAAGGATATATTAAGAGGTGCATTTAAATATGTATACTAAATACAATAAATACACTAGATATCTCTAATTGACTCTTGTTAGATGGAGCGATCTATATTTGTAAACTTATACTATATTAATGAGAGAGCTACGGGGACGATTGATAAGGTGTCTGTACACGTGTAGTATGCGATGGAGATGCTGGGTTGAGATTGTCCTGCCCTGATGCCGGGTGAAGTCACCGGGGCGTTCTTTAGACATCGGTTCGTCACAGCAACAAACGAGAATTTTTAGCAAGTTTGTCGAGACGAAAACGGATTGGATAAAAATCCTCTCAGAGTCGTATCACAGCAGCTTTTTTTCGAGAAAAATATATTAACTAAATTATAAAGTATTTTCTTAGTTCACAATCCTTGAAGGAATTAGGAGAACGGAACAAAACAATACTCTGTCAGTTTATATTTGTATTCAAATTAAAACCAGAACAGTTTGTGGCCTGGGCTTGAATCAAGAGTCCTATTGTATGGCAATTATTAGTGATAAAAGGTGTGAGTTAGCGTTAAACGATAAAAATCAACAAATCAGGCCTAATGGACAGCGCTAAGACTGTCAACAATAGAATGCTAATGTAGCGTAGGTTGAGTAGCTTGCAGCAAGCAAACTCCAGCAAAAAGGCAAGATCAGTTAAGATCTGGAGACCTCTTGACTATCATAACACTGAACCCCACATATCGTACTCTTCATCTACGCTACTGAACATGAGCGATAGCCCAGAAGAACGTCCCAGACCTAGGTCATTTCGTATCGATGATATTTTAGCGTCCACAGAGAGCAAAGCACCAACGAGTACAAGTACAATCCCTACTAATACTATCAGTAGCAGTAGCGATGGCGCGTCTAGTTCTGTAACCTCTTCTTCTATTCGAACACCGTGTGTTCTCCCCCTCAACTTTGGCGTGGATTCGTTACTCTCAAGAAACAGCACAGATATGTCCCCGAATAGATATGGTAAGCCTTTAATATTAAACTGTAAAAAGAACTTAGCAGTAACTATACTTATACTTTATTAGATTAATTTTAATCAAAACCTCTGAAAATTTAACTTCTTAATTTTTCTCCCTCGATGTAGTCGTAATAATAAAAATACTGCTCTTTTTAATCAGTTATTGAAAGTCTACGCGTGAAGGCATTCCCATTCACGTACCTTTCTTGCGGTATTGATATCATTAATGCCGGAATCGTACACCTTAAAAAGATATTGTTTCTTTTGATGTTGTTTAATATAATTAAGTATACGGTGTATATAGAAATCAACATGCTTGCAGTACATACTGAGCGGCCTATCCTTCGTGTCAAGACATCCTTTCTTATTATCTACGAGACTCTTTCCCGATACATTCACCTAAATCCTAGCGCTTTTTTTGCTACGTTTTATTTTGGAGTCTAAATACTCGAGCTCCTTTTTTAGGCATTTTATCTATCTTTTAAGATCTTACGCGATGTCAGCGCCAAGGAGCGCGTTTCGGGATGCTGTCAGCAAAGAAAACGTGAGAGGAATCATTCAGGGCATTGCGCCGCACTAGAGGTTGGCTTTCCGAGTACAACAGACAATACAGTGTACAGTCATATTGTAATATTAAGCTTACGGCGGAAATTCCCACTTTGCTAGAAAACTACAAGTGTCGAGATGAAAGAACTGAAAGCAAACTCTAAGAGGCGATCTGTGTATTCGTGTGTGTTCTTGTTCTAACATACAAGTGTGAGTTTTTTGCTCGAGACTCATTGTCTTCTTCACCTGGTTACAAACTTAAAAATCAACGTGTTTTGCCGGTGTTGATCTAAGGCTGGATGGATCGATATCGCGGGACGAGTGGCGTTGAACTTTCGGATTAGAAGTCGTTTGTTGGTGTATATAGGGGATTAAGGCTGTACTATCAATGTTGCTTCAACGGCTTTGTTTTATGATACATGAAAGGTTTTCTTCGACATCACGGATGAAATTACAGTTGTCCATTAAAAATACAAACAAGACCATCCGTAGGGCAAACAAATCTGCCCGCAAAACTGAACACACTTTTAATTCTCGTCAAACCTGAAATTGGTATCGTTTTACTCTTTGAAAGAACTTTTAACTTTGCCGCGGCCAAAACTAGGTTGATTTTAGGATCTGGAGCAGAAAATCTTTCGAGATTGCCCGCTAGATTTTAAAAACGAAAAACGCAAGACGGGCGGTCAAAGTCCGTACCTAATCGCAAGAAAATCATTAGAGGTAGTTTGCTCGACATTTTAGCTTTCACTTTTGATGCCATCTCGATTTATTTCATGGTGTTATTTTTTAAAGAGAGGATACAGTTCTAGTTCGTTTGTTGGTCTCGCCAAACAGCAAAGATCAATGGTTGTGTCCTAATGAGCAAACGTATTGCACAGCCGTTCAATTGAATAGTAAATGTCAATTCAATCAAACTATTCGGTACAATAGCGATTTTGAGATACAACCATGAGAATTGCCCACTTGCTACAGACAACCATGCTACTAATTAATAATGTGTGCAAAGGCACCATTACAACACCACAATTATCCGGCTTCTTTGGGTCTCTTTTCTTCCGACCTTACAAGCGTGAGCTAACCTTTTCTACTCTAATATAAACCATACATTAAGGACAAAGCGACGCACTGCTTTCAATTCGATCACCTAATCATTTGGCAGGCCTGCATTTATCATAAAAGAAAGGGGTAAAAGAAGAAACAATAACGCTCTCTCTTTAAAATAGAAATGTTAACTTAACAAAGCTGTGTAGAGACAAGAACTTAGAAGACTTTTACGCCATCGGTCATTTGAATTCTTTGTCCAAGTTGTTTTCCTTCGAGCAGTTGGGCACACTTTGGATAGGGATCAGATTTCAATCCTTTCTTTGGGTTGATCCCATTCATTGAATCTCATTAAGGTCTCCTTTCTTCCTTGTTTTAATTCCTTCGACTAAAGGGACCCAAACAGCCGAAGATTACTCACAACCCTGCTTCATTTCTCCCTAAAATCAATATATTTTACTTAAAATATCAATTTTTGGAAGGATGGTTGATAGGAATGACTATAATTTGACTTTCTCAGATGCAACATGTTGTTGTATATGTATCTTCGATGTATAACATTAAGTAAATCAAAGGAAACATGGACATCCTTTTAGCAAAATTCATTTTCACCTGTGCTAAAGTGTAATCTTCTAGTGTTTATTAATGATGGCTATTATTTTCTGTCTTTTGACTTCATTACCAAATTCTTTTTCTAGTTTTTGGCTGTCAACTTTTCCAGGTTTTTCTGTATAAAATACAGTTAAAATTTCATTGCCTTGAATGAAAGATTTCTCTCATCACTGGGAACTTGACACTCTTTCTTTGAATGATATGTATTTTTTGAAAGGAATAAAAGATTTTCCATATTTCACGTCAAAAAAATTCTCTTGTCCTTTTCCTACGAATTTGTCGCTCAAAAAAGCACAAATGTATGCATAACGATTCTCTTAATTTAATTAGTTTTTCTCTTGCAAAATATCTCAAACTATTTTCTTTTTGTCTTCTTGTAGTTCAAGATCAATTCTTGTTCTTCTTCTTTTTCACTGTTCTTTAGTCTTCTTCTTTTTTTCTTCTTCTTCTTCGCCGGCTCTTCTTTTTATTATCATCATTTTTCTTCTTCTACTTCTTCATTTCCTTCCTTCTTCCTCTGGCCTCTTCTTTCTTCTTTACTACATTCACTTTAGTATCCAGTTATTTTTAGGGTGTTTCGACACGAATTCTAGGTTAAAATCACTCTTCACATGTTTTTTTTTGCTTGATTTTCACTTCTCAAATGGCCGGACACAACGACTTCGCTACTGGCAAGTTTTGAAATATTATAATTCGCATACTTCGATGCATTTCATAGTACGTAATCATATATTGCTCTAGTCTAACTTAGAAATGAATATTCTCCTCTTCTTTTATTATTCTTCCGTCTTTAATTATTTAGCACAAAAACTTTGTACAGTTGTCGTCGCTTTTCGGGCTGCAGAGTCCTTTGCACGAGATAAAGAAGTAAATAATTCATATTGAAGCAAAGAAATTAGGTTTTCTGTGATGGTAAAAAAACACATTGCGAACCAATTTTTTTCCTTTATTCAAAATACAAAATTTGTCATGGTTTTGATATTAAAAGACGTAACATAAACGACATGGATTTCACACTTAGGATCGAATATTTCACAGTTCTACGGCGTACAGTTACCCGGGGTTCTCAGGAATGCAGCAATACCTTTAACCCCGCTCTAACAATTCGCCTTTTTTATTTTTTTTCGCATTACACCACAACTAACAGTGTCAAGTTTCTACAGTCAACTTTGAGGTCAGAAAACCCCGCCCCAAACATTAAACTATTCGTTGGCTGTCTCCTCGCAGTTTATACAGACACCATTATATTTAAATACGCAAAAAAAAATTGCACCTAAATCAGCTCTAAAAAGCTTTCCATTGTAGTGTTAAAGAAGCATTCATTCTGCTGTTAAATCTAATACCGTTTCTGTGTAATTTTTTCTCTTTTTTTTTGTTCTTTGACGAGAGAGACAATGGGAGTAAATGGTGTTAGATGTGTTATACAGAGCTGTGTCCACCAAGGGATTAAGCAATGTTGTTTTTGTCTTGTTCTGCACGTCAAAGAAGTTGTTTTTGCTTTACGAATGTCTTTGTTTAGTTTAGTGGTGTTTCTTCAAGGTTTAGCGAGACTAAAAGCCTCTTCAATCACCTCAAAAGAACAACAACTTTTACATGTGGCATTTTCTTGGTGTAGATGCTTGTAATATTTGGACTTTTTGTTCAAATTCTTTGAAAACATATAAAATGCGTTTCGGACATACAATAGCCATAATTTTTCCGACAGTGTTGAATTTAAAATATCTTACTCTAAAGATTCCTTCCGGTTCAATAGTCTAAAGAAATGGATAGTATTACAACCGTTAACTGTGAATTCTTAGCGTTTTGGAATTCAGAAGATTTGAAAGTCAAACCCTGTTGAAATTGAGAGAAAATTTCCCGCTCTTTCATATCCATGTTTAGATGAAATAAAAGCTAATAATTCACTTCGAAAACTAAAGGAATGGCAGTTGAAATACGCGCTTAAGCGCTCAAATTGTTGTTTTATTCTCAGAAACAAAATACGACGAAATATATATATATATAAAGACGATACCGTTAGAAAATTTTCTCTTTCTTACAGTAAATTAGTTTAGTCAATCTCTTACTAGAAAATCGTTTGTTTCATCTTTCTTGGATTTTATCTTTAGGAAAAGTTATGATTTGGTTGAAGTTTTTTTAAGCCCCGACGTCAACGTAACTGATGGATATAATGGTCCAGAAGGACAAGATGACAAATGTCTTGTTTCCATGTTTTCATTTATTCACGATGAAGTATTTTGAGCTATCTATAAACGGTTTCGTTGTCCGCGATAAGGTGTAACTAATGTAGATTGACAAGAAAAAGATGCAAACGATCGTGAACTAAAACTACACATTTGGAAAGAGGATGGTATGATTTCGAACTCCTTAAGCGTACGTTTTTTAAAGAAACAAGTGTTTCAACCTTTCTTTTTGATCTGGCTACAAAGTAACTTTTATTTGTGGAATCGAGGGGGAAAATTCCTTCAAACTCATTTAGCTTTTTTTTTTTTTTTTTTTTTTTTCAATTTTTTGTTAAAATTTCAATCGATTTTTCTCAGTTCACACTTCATGGTATTTACACCTCAGTTTGTTCAGTTGACCCAAGAAAGCATTCTCTTCTCTTCTCAAGCAGACAAAACGATCGTTCCAAACACTGAATGCTGAATAAATTCCAAACAATGTTTTAACACTTTTTTCAACACCATCAGTTTACACTGGGTATAGTGAATCATTCTAAGAAGCATCTGCTAAAAAAATACGTTATCTTAGACCATGTTCTACTGAATAGGTGTAAAGGTTTTTCCTTATAATTTTTTCCTTCTCT